AGTATGTAAGCAAACAAAATAGCAAAGAATCAAACATATATATAGTTTAGACAAGATAATAGACAACATAAAGAGACATGAAAATAATAAAAATTAAATCACAATAGAATACCATACAACCAGTTAGTAGAATAGACATTCAAGAGATACAAAATGTATAATTACAAACAAAACACATGAATGCAATCAATAAATCACATTAAACCAAATAAGACATATAAGGCACAAATTCCAAAGATAAAAAAATTTGCAACTATGTTAAAAAGATTTAAAGATAGTATTATAGCAACATATATTTAAAGCAATCAAAAACATAAACGCACGTAAAAGAAGCATAAATATAATAATAAAAAATAGCAAACAGTAAGGATAGAACATAATTATAAATTCATTAAAAATAGTTATAGTTATAATCAATAATTTTTGAGAGCAGATGATAGTAAATAATTATCATACAAGACATAATATTAAGTCAAATATTAAACATGTTTATATAATATAGCAATTAAAATCATCATATATGATAGCCATTAAAAATGAAAACACATACATAATAATAAGCATTTAAAAGTCTGAATACTCATAGTACTAATCATGCTAACAAGATAAATTATGATAAAAATAGTCATAAAATATTATATGATAAAAATAGACGTAAGAGTAAACAAGTGATTCAAAATAGGCATTTTATATAAAACATAATAAGAAGGACGCAATTATACATATTCAACAAATAATATAATAAATCAAAAATATTAGTAATATTCATGATAATCATAATTTTATTATAATTTTATACCCTCATTATCTATTTTACATGAATAAATATACCACTAATAATTATTTTTATTTTATACCCTCATTATCTATTTTACATGAATAAATATACCACTAATAATTATTTTTATCTTTAATTGTAGGTTAATCAAGAATAAAACCCAAGATCTCTTCTCTCAACAAAAACCTATGAATTTAATGAAGAACACAAGCAAGAGCCAAAAGCCCAAGCCTAGAATCAAGTTGAGTAGCTTATAGTAGCTGGAGAAAATAAAAAAAAATAAAATATGAAAAAAATGTATTCAAGATTGTTGGCCGCAAAGAAACGACGATATCTCCCAATCCGGAAGGTAGAATTTAACATATAATATATAAAAATCACCTATATCGATGAGACGAAGCCAACTGTGAAGTCAAAATTTTTTATGCGGGCATCGATTCCTTCATCGATGTCAGACATTTTGTTATGCATCAAAGGCTGAAAATGGATTCTTTTGGATAAAATTTTGATCCAAGGGCTCACATTCACTGATGTTTACTATAAATAGGGGTAGAGAGTGAGGGGTTAAGGGTATGAAAATTTTTGTAACTTTATTTGGAGAGGAGGGCCACTCTTAATGGAGAAGTCCTTCTAAATTTGTAACTTTTGTTACAATTAATAAAATAATTTTTTCACCACTTTAAATATTTTTTCTCTTTGTTGGATGATGAAGATGGAGATGAAAAATTATTTGAAGGTTTGTATTTCTTTTATTTTTCTCTTTTATTTTTTTATTACTTATTAGTTTAGATTTATTTCTATGCTTATAGTTAGATTTTATTTTCTTATTAAATAGCCAAGAGGCTAGAATCCTCTTACCTTAGATTTATTTCATGCTTATAGGTTAGATTTATTTTCTTGTATTTAATTCTTACAATTTATTTTATAGTTTAGATTTTATAATTTATTTTGTAGTTAGATTTTAATTTCTTATACTATTCACCTTGAGGCTAGAACCCTCTTGGGTTTAGTTTTTCTTTTTGTTTATTTTTATTTTTTTTTGATTCGCCTTTAGGCTAGAACCCTCTAGGAAATCAACATTTTCTAAGAAGTGGCTTCAATTTTAGATTACCCATATCTTTAATTGAATCCACCATCTTTACTTTCTTAAATTTTATTTTTTATTCTTTATTTTTATTTGTTTCTTGATTTTTCCTTCTTATCTTGTTGATCACATTTATTTTTTTATCACTTCCACTCTCAAATATATTCATTTACACAATTATTTTTATTCTCTCCATCTCTCCACGATCACACTTGTTCTTCACTCCTATTTGTAATGCACACAACATAAGAACCAATTTTAATTTTCTCCTACAAAACACCTTCCTCATGGGATCAATAACTTTTTATACTATAACTTGATACGGTTGTACACTTGCAACATTTTTAGTATATGTTTATATGTTTATGCCGCATCAATTCATAAGGTAAAATAATAAATATAAACAAGATACAACAATAATAATCATCACTATATAAAATTAATTCAGACATAGTAATATATTGTATAGTAGTAAAAAATTACATAAATACAATCAGCATAAATATACATAAATTAAAATGTATAATACATAAAACATGAACTATAGAAGATAAAATAGATTTATAAATAAATGAAAACATAAGAAGGACATAAGTTCATATAATAAAAATACTGAGATATTGTAAAAAACATACCATGAATGATTGATGAACATGTGAACATAAACACTAATAATACATGAAATAGAACACGATTAGACAAAGTTGATACTAGAAATGATGAATGACTATAAATCAATAAAAATATATATCAGAAATGTAGTAATATACATGAATACACTATAATGAAAATGAGAATAGTAAATATAAAAATAATAAAAAAGTAAAACACAACATAAGTAAACAAAAATAATGAATAGAAAATGAACAACAACTAATAACACAATAAAAGACATAAAAATCTAAAAATACCATAAAATAAATACTAAAAAATAACACGTGTATACAATGTAGAGCTCCGACCAGCCGAGCTCGCTGCACCAACGCTGCTATCCTCCACACCTCCATCACCGCCATCTTCCCTCACCAACGCCTCCACCAGCAGATCCACCTCCTTCATCGCCACAGATGCGATGCCGCACTTCCCTCATCGTTGATGCCTCTCTCAATAGATCCGACGTCGTCCCTCTCTACCCGACGACTGGTTGTTGCCATCAGAAGTTCTGACAACGCCGGCCACAACAGCAAAACTCCAGCCATCCTCCCTGCTACGCGCGTTGCTGAACAATGAACAACAAGCAATGGCGTCGCCGCCTCATTCGCAGGTCCCTTAGCCTCGCAAGAAAGATCCCGCTTCCCTTGATTTGATATTCTATTATTTATATCCATTAGTAATTGATTGCATGGATTAGGCTGTGATATGTCATTACCCGCGTGTGTTTGTTGATGAACGATATTAATTATGAGATGCTTTTAATAAAAAGGAATATTTTTTAGATTTATTTTAAAATTATTATTATAAGAAAAGAAGTTGATTTTGGAAAAGGGGTTAGTTTTGAATTAATACAATGAGAAAGAATTTTTAAAAGTATTTTTTGGAATTAATAAATTTATGATCATGACGATTGAAAACTCCGGCATTTCATATGTAAAACAATCACAGTTTTAAATTTCCTTTTTGATCGTAGTTATTTTAGATGTTATCTAGCTGCTGATAATTTTTATGAGTAGTTTAGAAGTTTTAATAATAAGATATTAATGAAACTGGATTGCATGCATGATTTTACTGTTCATAATTACATTTTATGTTTTGTGATTTATTTTAATGTATTTGACTTGTCATCATATTATTACATAGAACCAGTTAGACTTATTTACTGTTCCTTGTTATGTTTGAGAACCATTAGTAGTTCATGACTCAGTGGCCTCGTGCATCATGATCAGACCTAGTGACATGTGTGGGTGTGTTGACTGAATTTAGGTGGTGAACCAGAGATAGTGTGGATTATGTGTGTGGGTGTGTTGACTGAATTTAGGTGGTGAACCAGAGATAGTGTGGATTATGTTTGACTTAGAAAAATGAGAAGAGTTGTTGACTGAATTTAGGTGGTGAACCAGAGATAGTGTGGATTATGTTTGACTTAGAAAAATGAGAAGAGTTGGGATGTGGAAGTCTTTGTTCATGTGATCGGATGCGACAGTTGATGTATCTTCTAGGCTCACGCTAGTGGTTGATGTCGCCACTGGAGTTAGTTTGTAGGGCTAAAGTGAAGTGTGTACATCACTTTGGTCAGTGGGAATTTAATTCGTCACCCGAATTTTGGTTGAGTTTAGACTAGGCAGAAAACGGTTTGCGTGTAGTCCTCTAGCCGCATGTGTAGCGGGATTGGATGCACATAGAAGATTTGTGAACAGTCAGTTATCCGATGATATGAGCGTTGACTCTATGTGAGATGTGGACTAGTGAGTTTTTAGGATGACTAGTATTAGACCTGGTTACTATATGCTGTTAGCCTTATGAGTATCACGTTTTAATGATGGATTGCAATTTTATTTTGTTAGATTTCCAGTTGCACATTCCTTTTATCATTTTTATCGTTGTATCATTTTTTCACATTGAGTTTTCGATCGTTCAATTTTCTTTTGTGGGGTCTAGCCGTGTGCTATGCACACTAACGTACACCTATTTTCTCTGGTGTACGTCAGACTTAGAGGAAGAATAGATCTAGTTAGGAGATACATCAGAGCCTGAGTATTCTCAGTAGGAGTGCCTTGTAGACATAGTTGAAGAATAGGCCGAAGCTTAGTTATCTTTTCTTAGTTAATGATCCTAGTTACTTTTACAGTATGTCCTTTCTATTACCGTTGAACGATGTATTTTATATTTCTTCAGTTTTTAGTTGTTCTATTTTGTAATAAGGTCACGTTTGACCCAAACTTTATGTCTCGGATGTTATCCCATTTGTGATATGACATTTCTTTATTCTGAGTTGTTTATTATATTATTGCTAATTATGATCGGGGACCTGTGACTTCGCATTGTATATTGTTTGACGCTTAGCATATTAGGTTGAGAATAAATATTTATTTTTATTTATTCTCCTCTATCTAATACGTCGCGGGTTTGTTCATGTTTCGATTCCCTGATATTTTGGGAAGTGGAGCGTGACAAGCAGGGAAGGTGGAGAAAGAGGAGGAAATGGTGGAGGAGAGAGGGGCGGAGGACGTGGTTGAGGGGAGGAGGAAGGGCGGTGGGATGAGAGAAGATGGGGAGGCTTGGGCGGTGATGGTGAAGGGGGCGGAGTGGTGGTGGCGAAAGGCGGAGAAGGTTGTTAGGGACTGGGCAGCGAGCGGAGCAGAGACGTCAAGGAAGTGGAGCGGTATGAGGAGGAGCGGAGGGAGGGCTGTGTTTGGCAATGCTCGGCGATGTGGGCGGAACGGCGTGAGCTTTAGGACGTAGGCGGATTTTGCAGAACTGATTTAGGGAGGAGAGAGAGAGAGAGAGGAAGCAGAGATGAGAGATGTCATCCAGTCTTACACGGGTTCGACTCCCCCCGGGAGAGAGAGACGACGAGAGAGAGAGATTTGGCCTGCCGTGAAAATTCGTGCGAGAGAGAGAGAAAAAAGAATGATATATATCTATTATATATATATATATATATGATATATATAATATATATATATATACTATATATTATATATATATATATATATATATATATATATCATATAATATATATTATATATATATATATATATATATATATATATATATATATATATGATATATATATTATAGATATATATAATTAGAGTTAGGGTTTTAAAACCATATTAAATACAATTAATAATAATTAAGTATTAAATTAAATAATTATAGAAAAACCATTTACAAAATAATATGTACCAGTAACATAACATTAACACAACAGATTATCAATATAATATGAAATAGTAATAATAATCACACAACGGATTATACAAAATAATACGTAATAGTAATAATAACACAATGGATTAATTCAAAATTTTTACTATACTAAGTTAATTTATAAGTATCAAAATAATTCAAATTAATATAAAATGAGATTATTAAATAGTAAAAATTCTAGAAAATTGAGAAAAATACAAATACTCTTTTAAAAATAATAATTAAATATTTTAAAATATCAAAAATTCTAGAAAATTGAGAAAAATACAAATACTCTTTTAAAAATAATAATTAAATATTTTAAAATATCAAAAAATTATTTTAACACTCTTTTAAAAATAATAATTAAATATTTTAAAATATCAAAAAATTATTTTAACTAGTATTAAAAATTCACGGTCATTACAATGCGTGAATGTACGTGTATAGAAGTGAGGCTCGAATCCCGTGAACTCGTCTCAAAATAGTGCAAAACAAAACTGGAAAAGTCTGGAAATTTGCCCATAAGTTGACTTATAAACCTGACAAGTCGACTTATGGTAAGTCAACTCATGGCCTGGTATAAGTCGACTTGCGACAAGTCGACTTATAAGTCAACTTAGTCGACTTCCAGGTTGTCGTTTCGAGTTTTCTACGATATTTCTCAAACAAAACTCGTTCTATTCAACATGGAACATAGAAACAAGTTATAAACATGTACAACTAATTCACAGAGATCAGATTATATGATTTAGCATTTGGATTAAAACTAATTAGGGTCAGCAACATGATTATACAAGATTTTCAATAAAGACATGAAAGGTCACATGATTGCCATAACATGATCATTTATAAATATGAACAGAGACATAAAATTCGTTTAAACATGTCTAAGTTATTTAGGTATAACAAACCTAGGATTTAAGCATGATTAAAAGATTAAAAACAAAATTAAATGAAAATCTAATGATCAATATCATGATTCTATCATAAACAGCAAGAAAAAGGTTACTAATCTAGCATTGGTTTACGATTTAATATCAAAAATCTGACTTTTAACACTACATGTTAAGATTAAAGCATGAAAACACGTATTCAACATCATATTAAACATCTAAACTAGTTATTTAACTATGGGGATGAGTTTGGATGAAGATAATCTTGCCTCAAGTCGCTGTTGATCCTTCCAACACGCGTGCAAGACCTCTTCCTTTGTTACAAAAACAAATCTTGTCTTCCTCTTGGTGAATCCTTCACAAAACTCTTTCAAAAACTCAAAAACTTGAACTAGGGTTTTAGAGGAGGGGTGGCTGCTAGATTCTCACGAGAAAGTGCAGCAAAAATAGGTTCAAAAGAGTTTATATAAGTCTAGGATCGAAACAAAATGGATAAAACCCGAAACCCAAAAGAAAACTGGAAATCAGCCTATAAGTCGACTTACGTATCTGACAAATTGACTTATAGTAAGTTGACTTATGGCATTGATAAGTCACCTTATGGCAAGTCGACTTATAAGTCGACTTAGAAGAGATTTTTTACAGTTTTCTTTTATTTTTGTGCATATTTCGTTCATGTTTCTCTCCTCCACTCACATATATACACTAAATTGATCTCAAATCAATTCCTAACATACTCAAACATCAAAATATGTTATTTATCACCATATAATATATTTATTGTTATTTATCACACAATATTCAAATTCGTGGGGTTTTACAACAGCCTACCATATAGGTATCCAAAAAGACGGCTCACAAGCCTCATCGCACCCTCGTACGGACGGACTGCTAGACAAAGCATCCAAACCCGACTCAATAGCCTGTACAAATGGAATATCAATGCACTACCCCACGTAGTACTAAACTGAGCTCATCAACGATATCCATTTTATATATAAACTATGTAAATCCGGCTATCGACGCACTATCCCATATAGTACTGAGCTGTGCTCATCAACAATATCCAACGAGTGTATGAACAATAAACAACCCAATATTTAACATAATCCCCTATGGGATACTCATGTGTGTGCAAACAAGCCTCGTGAACACATCTCAAACAGATACAAAACACAAACTCAGAAAACAGCCTTAGTAATCGACTACTACGCTTAGTAGTTGACTACTCTCAGCCCATCCAAAATCTAGAAAATTGGACTAAGTATGATTGGTCGACTAATATGAACATTAGTCGACTACTCTTCTATGAAAAACAATTCTGTGAGTCGCACCAGGAAAGGAGTAGTCGACTACACATGTTATTAGAGCATCTCTAACAGATTCTGCATCTTCTTGGTATTCTCAAATTTGGAGAATTTTGAGCAAATTTTTGGTCCAACAGCTTCCCTATCTCATTCCCCAAAATGGGGATGGGGGAGAAAAAATAGAGAGGTTTCCCCAAATCTGCGGCATTCTGCAAATTTTTGGGGAAGCACTGTTTCACGTTCTTCTAGGCTCAACACAAAAAAAACGATAGATTCTCCTCACCTCAAGATCAATAAAAGTTCGTCGCGGGTTCCCATCTTCGCCGCGGGTTCCCATCCTCGAGCTCGAGCTTGAGGGTTCACCGCAGATCCTTCAACTCCTTGATTCTCGTCCCTCACCTCAAGATCTAGGGTTTCCATCCGTCGATCTCCTCGAGCTCGAGCGTTCGCCGCCGGTTCCCATCTTCGCCGCGGGTTCAAATCCTCGAGCTCGAGCGTTCGCCGCCAGTTCCCATCTTCGACGAGCTTCAGCCTCCATTGGATTTCAGGTAAAGTTCTTCTCTCAATTTCAATTTTTGATTGTAATAGACCCTTGAATTTTGATTTTGGGGATGATCAAGAATCCTAATCCTCTGATCTGGAATCCTAATCCTTTGATTGTTGGTCTAGCTAGCTCAATAGTTGTAGATTAAAATTGTTTTGATAACCTGTCAGCATTATAAAATACCTAATTTTATATGAGGAGTTTTTTTCTTGAATTAGAGCTGAGCATAGTGTACCATGGCAAACGTGTATTGCTTGGCTTATGTGGTTCATTCTTCTGTGGTTCATTCTCATCATGCTTCTGTGGTTCATTTTTCGGTCCTGATTTGTTTCATATTAACTCACCTTAGAAATTGCAGCAGAGATGCTCTGAGAGGGTATTAATGTCCTGGACCTGTTATTAGAGAGTATAATTTTCGTTTTTGTTTTTGAGTTTGTGAGCACTATATTAGACATGCTATTCATCTCTTTGCACATTGTTTCTAATTTAAATGTGAACTGGTCAGAAATTTTCAGGCTTCTATTCATCTCTTTGCACATTGCTTGGCTTCTATATTGATTCATATTTCATTGTATCTTTTGATATAGTACAATAAACATGTTGTATCTTACAATTATTTGCCAAGGTCTTTTCTTGGATTTTTGTGATGCTAAAAGTGAACATACTTGTAAATGCTGCTATTTATCTAGTAATGTTTTCTTGCATCCTAAAGAACATGGAGCTATGATATTCACGATCCAATGTCGCTGTCTATTCTTAAGCTGTAGATTAGAGGGAGTGTATGATTTATCAGTCTTTGAACTAAACATCTAGTGATGTATCAACGTGTTATATTATCAGCTTCAGGACTTCTTTGTGATACAAGTGATGGATAAAGCAACATGATTATGTTCACAAGAGATGGTCATTAATTACTTCCAAGTTTTCACTTACAGGCTATTTAATTTTTGATCGATCTTGCTTGGTTTAGTCGTGTCTAATTGTCGATAGGCCCCTATAGTTTTAATTATGCCGATATATGTCACAGACCTTCAGCTTCAGTTTGATGATATTGGTGATTTGTTCCATTGCAAGATAGAGTAGATGCTAGTTTTGATCTTTGATTACATATATGCGTGTTTTCTCATTAATAATTTGTAGAGTTCTTTGCACATTCTCTAAGCCTCTTGAGTACAATATTTCTTATCATGTCTTTTATTTTTTTACTTTGCATGACTTGCAATTGAATGGAATTGATTCTCCTCCTCCTTATGGTGTCTCCATTGTTTGAGATGCTCTGAGAGGGTATTAATGTCCTGGACCTGTTATTAGAGAGTATAATTTTCGTTTTTGTTTTTGAGTTTGTGAGCACTATATTAGACATGCTATTCATCTCTTTGCACATTGTTTCTAATTTAAATGTGAACTGGTCAGAAATTTTCAGGCTTCTATTCATCTCTTTGCACATTGCTTGGCTTCTATATTGATTCATATTTCATTGTATCTTTTGATATAGTACAATAAACATGTTGTATCTTACAATTATTTGCCAAGGTCTTTTCTTGGATTTTTGTGATGCTAAAAGTGAACATACTTGTAAATGCTGCTATTTATCTAGTAATGTTTTCTTGCATCCTAAAGAACATGGAGCTATGATATTCACGATCCAATGTCGCTGTCTATTCTTAAGCTGTAGATTAGAGGGAGTGTATGATTTATCAGTCTTTGAACTAAACATCTAGTGATGTATCAACGTGTTATATTATCAGCTTCAGGACTTCTTTGTGATACAAGTGATGGATGAAGCAACATTTGATTATGTTCACAAGAGATGGTCATTAATTACTTCCAAGTTTTCACTTACAGGCTATTTAATTTTTGATCGATCTTGCTTGGTTTAGTCGTGTCTAATTGTCGATAGGCCCCTATAGTTTTAATTATGCCGATATATGTCACAGACCTTCAGCTTCAGTTTGATGATATTGGTGATTTGTTCCATTGCAAGATAGAGTAGATGCTAGTTTTGATCTTTGATTACATATATGCGTGTTTTCTCATTAATAATTTGTAGAGTTCTTTGCACATTCTCTAAGCCTCTTGAGTACAATAATTTGTATAGTTCGATGTACATGCAATTTAGTAGTTCTATATCTGGTGGTTAAGCAATTCTGAGATTTTGCAGATGAATTTTACCGAGCTCCTCAACAATAGATCGTCCCTTGATGATCTCAATGAACCACATCTGTCATATGATTTTCCATTGAGTCAGTACCATTCTAGTGGTTCTCCTTTTGAAGAGACATATACTACTGAAGCTCACACTGATCAAGAGACGCCATGTGCACCTAGCAGCAACAAATCACAAAAACAATCTCAAAGAACTATCAACTTCTCTCCTGAGAAAGACAAACTTCTTATAGCTGCATGGCTGAATACAAGCTTAGATCCAATCAAAGGATCTGATCAAAAGAAGAACCAATTCTGGAAAAGAATTACTCGATACTTTGAAGATCATAAGAGTTGGTCGGATGAACGAACTAAAAAATCACTGACGAACCGCTGGTCAAAAATAAGTTTCAGTGTGAGTAGGTTTTGTGGACATTATGCTGCAGTTGAACACTTGCGGAAAAGTGGATACACAGAGGCAGATAAGGTGCACACCATTGTTAGTACTGATGTTGCATTCCCAAATGTTATTTTTTTGTTAGATATTTACATGAGCTATTCTTTGCAGATACAAGAGGCAAAAACGGTCTACAAAGATAAGGAAGGTCATCAATTTGGATTTGACCATTGTTGGACTCTTTTGAGGTTTCAGCAAATATGGATGGTTGAACATAAAAAAATTGAAGCAACTAGAATCTTCAAGGCTCCTACTAAAAATCAAATTTCAATTAACTTGGAAGATGATAATGGAAATGCTCCTGAACCTGCACCCTTGAAGAGGCCTATTGGAAGAAAGGCTGCAAAAGAAGCGAACAAAAAAACAAAATCCAACGAGCAAGGTGATGATGATGAGAAGGAATCTTCAAAAGTCCGTTCTGAGTTGGAAGAGTTTAGGGCAAGGAGACTAGAAAGTGACCGCGTAAAGGCAGAACAACTTAAGTTGCTAATTAATATTGAGCAAAAGCAGGTTTGCTCTTAGAGAAAAGGAAATTGAACTTCAAGCTCGAAGTGAGGAAACTAAAATAATGTCTATGGATACTAGTTCCATGAATCCTATTCAAGCAGAGTATTTCATCAGCCTTCAGAGAGAAATTTTGGCAAAAAGAGCTGGTAAGAATGGAAATGAGTAGTCTCTTGTGTCATTACTCCTGGATATTTATGCTATTCAGAGACTTGTGTTATGTGTTTTGGATTCTTTCTTTCTAGCTTTTCAGCTGCTGAATATTTAGAGGGTAATATTTTGTTGTGAGATTAGTTTAGCAGGAAAAGTGTATCTTGCTTCTCAAGTTTGGACCTTGAACAATGTTATTGTTAAATTTCATATCTAAATCTATATGCTTGCTGACCATTGTTACTCATTTTTCAATTTTTTTTCCTACAATTGCTCCCAGTCTACAAAGTGATATGTTTCTGGAAGTGAGACCTTTGTTAATATTGAATATGAAGCTTTTGAGACGTTTGAGGTAATATAATCATGTTATTTTTTAAATGATTCATTCAACTTGTCATTGTTGACAGTGGATCCATGGAATTGATTGTTAATAATTTTATCTTGAAATTGTTGACAGTGGAATTGATTGTTAATCATGTTATTTTTTAAATGATTCATTCAACTTGTCATTGTTGACAGTGGATCCAACACTTTCACGGCTATATTCACATAAGTTAATAACTTTATCTTGAAATTGATTGTTGACAGTAGAGTTAGTAACTTTATCTTGACCAAGTATGCTACTACTCAATGAAGTTGAAACAACATAATATTCTTCATAAATTGAACGACATTACAATGAAGTTGAAACAACATAATATTGATTTATATAAGAAAGCAAATCACTAATTGGCTCCATGTTTTTTCCATAAGTGCTCGACAAGATCTTCTTAGAGTTGAGTATGCATTTGTTTATCTCTAACTCGACGACGATTTGCGATGAACTCCATTATTGTTGGTGTACGCTCGAGCGAAAGTGATATGTGTGGAATTTCATCAACATGGTCATATTCTTCTTTGATATCATGTATCTTCCTTAGTTTACGAATACGCTCATGTTCATCACGCTCGTCTTCGATAATCATATTATGCATAATTATGCATGCCATCATAATATGTTTTAGGTTATCCTTATCCCAAAGTCTTGCCGGGTTTCGGACAATCGCAAAACGTGATTGAAGCACTCCGAATGCGCGCTCAACATCTTTCCTTGACCCTTCTTGCTCTTTAGCAAAATGTCGATGCTTATTTCCTTGTGGAGCTGGAATAGTCTTCACTAATGTTGCCCATGATGGATACATACCATCAGCAAGATAATATCCCATGTCATATGGCCTCCCATTGACTTTATAGCTAATATGAGGGGCACTACCTTCATCCAATCCACTAAATACATAAGACCGCTCTAACATATTGATGTCATTAAGTGACCCAGGTAATCCAAAGAAAGCATGCCATATCCACAAATCATATGAAGCTACAGCTTCTAAAATAATAGTGGGTTCATGAATGTGGCCAGTAAACATACCATGCCAAGAAGTAGGGCAATTCTTCCATGTCCAATGCATACAATCAATGCTTCCAAGCATCCCAGGAAAGCCGCGTCGTTCACCTATTGCAAGTAATCTCTTAAGGTCATCACTATTTGGCGACCTTAAGTACTCATCACCAAACACTTCGACAACTACTGTGATGAACTTTTTGAGACTTTCAATAGTGGTGCTTTCCCCAATCTACACGTACTCATCAACATAATCGGCCGGAACACCATATGCAAGTTGTCGAAAAGCAGCTATTACCTTCTGAAGTGATGACAAGCCAAGTCGCCCAGCATCATTCCTTTTTTGAACAAAACAAGTATCGTGCGCGACGACGGCATCATGAATGCGCATGAAAAGAGCTTGCTTCATTCTGAATCTCCTTCGAAAGAGACGAGCCCCATATTTTGGAGGATTGGCAAAGTAGTCATCTTGGGGTCAAGATTCCTAACATTAACAATACAGTGACCCATAATAGAACCACGATGACCTCCTCTAGAACTCTGGTTGGCACGACCTTTTTCTTCTATTTGAGCAAGTAACAATTCTTCATATTCGTCGTCAATATTGTCGTCGTCATCCATGAACGTATCAACTAGATAACGACTAGCCAATGAACGACGAGCCATAAAATATATTTTCAAAGTTAAGCAAAGATGAGGAAGCAAAGAATGTGAGAATGAGATAACAAAAGTGTTCAGATTTGTTCTTATATATATAGACAAAAATAGAAGTCAACTAGCCGTTGTAAATTAGCCGTTAGAAACTAGCTGTTGGAAACTAGCCGTTATTTCAAAGTTTCAAATAAAAAATAAATTATTATTATTAGTCAAAGATGTAGAATGTTTTTATTATTGTAATAAATGCATGATTCTTCAAAATGGGGAAGCTGTTGGAGTTGGAGCAAAAATAATTTGGGGAATATGACATTTGATTCCCTATTTTGGAGAAATTTTTGGGGAAGCTGTTTGAGATGCTCTTAGTTGACTACTCTATGTTAAACAGATTTCTGTTTCTCAGGTTTTGATGTTTTTGTAATTATTTCTTAAAACAAAACTCATTAAAATTGTACGAAACATAGAAAAAAGATCTTAGTCTTCTGAAATTTACTATCAGAGATTAGTTCACATGATTTAACTCTTTGATTAAACACTAATTAGGGTTTAATTTTATAATTATTCAAATTCTCACATAAAAGCAAGATAAAATTTCAAAACAGTCCTCTTTGGACTTTGAATCCTAAAAAACCCCCTTTTTCAACTTATTTTTTGAAACCAACCTGGTTTCAACCTCAGCGCTGAACCAGGTCAGTTTCTAAAAAAACTTTTTCCAAAACTTCAGGGGAGTTGAACTTCCGTGAAGTTTAGTAAGCTTTACTAAACTTCACGGGAGTTCAACTCCCGTGAAGTTTCAAAGTTCAAATTAAAAGTTCAACTACCGTAAAGTTTCAGAAATTTTTTTTTAGAAACCGACCTGGTTTCAGCGCTGAGGCTGAAACCTGATCGGTTTCTGAAAATAAGTTGGAAATAGGTCTTTTTTTGTGATTACTATTATAAACGGGATTGTTTTGAAAATTCCTCCCATAAAAGCATGAATTATCACATGATTAACTTGGACAATATTATAACTAACATTGAATAGAGATAAGCTTGTTTAAAACACGTTCGTGTCATTATGATCTCCCAGCCTAGGGTTTAAGCATGATTAATTTATAAAAAAAACTCGATTAATTAACAAACTAGGGTTTGCACATAGGTTAAACTTAATTAATAAATTAAAAATAAAATTAATATTTATCCTAATGATCATGATCATGTTTCTAATGTAAACAACAAGAAAACCATGTAGATCAAACATTTGTTTATAGTTTAATATCAAAAATCTAATCTTTTTCATATTAGATTAAGTTCTAAGCATCATATCTGTCATATCCTTTCATAAAAACATTTTTTATAAACTATGGGTAAGGTTTGGATGTAGATGATCTTACCTTAATCTCATGTGCAAGCTTCTAAAAAGAACAACAAGCAAGCCGAAAGTGCAAACAACTTGTTCTCCCTTGCCACACATCGATGATCTCGCCCTCGTATCGGTATTTTGCTTCACAAAGCTCACAAAACTCACAAGAAATTGATCTAGGATTTTTGAGGGGAGAGGGTGGCTACTAGGATTCAAAGATATGATAAAAGAGAATAATTTTCATGAAAAATATAGGTATTTGTAGAGGTAAACCCAAAACAAACCCGTTTGACCCAAACTAGGAAACCTAGTCTGACTAGGAAAATAACCTTTGGTATTTTGGCTGTAACTTTCTCATCCAACATCAAAATAAGGTTATTTAAGATTTGTTAGAAAGATACTGTAAATACCTACAACCTTTATCTTTTGAGTTTTTCTATATTTGAATTGTATCTATGTGTAAAACATAAATACTCTTAACTAGTCGATTTTTTCCAGATTTAGGCTCATGCATGTCGTGTATGATTTCACTCATATATTCATATATATACATTAGATTGATCTCAAATTAATCCCTAGCATGCTCAAACATCAATATATGTTATTTATCACTATATAACATATTTATTATTATTTATCGTAATATATTTAAATTTACAGGGTTTTACATTCTTCCCCCCTTAAAAGAATTTTGTCCCCGAAATTCTGTAATTATATCTTAGAGATTAATAATATGAGAAAAATTCATTGAGAGGATAATCCAGACAAGGAAATCCTCATATACACATCTTGTACTATTAATCTCCAGATATGAAACATAGCAATATCTATACTTAACCATCTAGAATGCGAATACTTCGACTTAACTCCTAACTAAGCAGAATAAGTACGTGAGGCAAAAAATCCAAACAAGCACCCCCATATATATATACCATGTATTCCGAATGATTAGGAGTTAAGTGTTAATACCCTTGTTCTAGCGTTAAATATAAATATGATCATATAGATAATCATGAACACTAATCAAAATTAATCAATTTACCTGCTCAAACAGATGCGGGTAGTTCCAACGTATAACATCTTTGCACTCCCCCCATAACCCTCCTCGATATCTATACCTAACAGTCTAGAATGTAAATACTCTCACTTAACCCTTAACTAAGCGAAACTAGTACGTCAGGCGAAAAAACAAAATAAGAAACCCCTCATATATATACCATGTGTTCTAAATAATTAGGAGCTAAGTGCTAATACCACCATTCTAGCGCTAAGTATAGATATGAGCATATAGATAATAATAAGCACGTGCATATCATAGTCAAACAATTTACTTGCTCAAATAGATGTGGGTCATCGCAACACATATCCTCGTTGCAACCCCCAAAAAGCCTTCCCTGCTCCTTTCCGATTCCATTAAACTTTAACTAAGGGTATCATTTTATTTCTAAGCTTCTTATCCTCCTTGGCAAGAACACAAATAGGAATTTCAATAGTGGTCAAATCATCATGAATCAATCTCTGGTGTATCTAACACTAGCTGATGCAACTAACACTCACTGCTGCTTCTCGCCCCGTAGATGCTTCTTAAGCATCAAAATGTGGAAGACATCGTGTATGCTCGACATCGATACTGGAAGATATAGCCGATACAAAATAGATCCAATGCGCTCAACAATCCTGAATGGACCAATATACCTCGGGGCTAGCTTCTATGTCTCCCAAATCACTGAACTCCCTTCATAGACGATACTTTTAATAATACATAGTCTCCAACCTGGAACTCTAATGGTTGTCGCCTCTAATCTGCGTAACTCTTTTGATGACTCTATGTTATAAGAATGCGCTCCCGAATTATTGCTACCTTCTCTGTGGTTTGTCTCACTAGCTCCGACCCAAGTAGCAAGCTGTCCTCTCGTTCTGCCCAACAAATAGTTGATCTGCAAGGCCTCCCGTACAATGCTTCATACAGTGTCATCCCAATAGTCGCTTGATAACTATTATTGTAAGCAAATTTATTTAATGAGATGTGATCCTCCTAACTACCCTGAAAGTCTATGACATATACCCGCACGGGTGAAAAACACTGGAGTATGACAATGTACTACCAAAGAAATTCTAGAAACTCCTCCAGAAATTCAAAGTAAAAAATGAGCCTCGATCTGATACTATCGTCTCTAGGACTGCGTGCAATCTCACGATCTCCTAGATGAATATTCTCATGTAAGTCTCCGCGGTACAGGTTGTCTTTACTAGTATAAAATATGCTGACTTGTCAACCGATCGACTATCACCCAAATTAAATCATTCCCCTTCTTCGATCTCGACAATCCTACAATGAAGTCTATGGAAATATCTTCTTATTTCCACTCTAGAATGGGTAAAGACTGTAGGGTTCCTGCTGGTCTCTGGTGTTCTGCCTTCACTTGTTGGTAGGTAAAGCACTTAGCCAAATACTCAGCAATCTACCTACGCATGCCGCTCCACTAAAAGTGTCTCTTAAGGTCCTTATACATTTTTATTGTGCCTAGATGTACTATGTACTTGGTACGATGCGCCTCATCAAATAAGTCTTTCTTCAACTATGGACTACTTGGCATCACTAATCGGCCTCGAAGACCTCCATCTGCTCCAATGGTCCAATCAGCTTTTGGCTATTTGGAAATCTCCTTCTTTCGGGTTTGAATCCAAGAGTCCTCTAGCTAAGCTTTGATCACACTATCACTCCAAGATGGTTGTATTGAGGGGACACTGATGTAATGTGTTTCTTTCAGGACATTTTGTTACACTGAGGGGACACTGACATAACACGTTTCTTTCTAGAAATGTCAAAGCAAACCATCCTTGCTTACTTATCATTGCATCAGGGTGACATCGATGCAAAGATCACGGAGGGGACGCCCCAATGAATATTAAATAGGATTCATTTTCATGTGGATAAAACAATCTTTTATGCTAGCTATCAGCTACCTAACTCAACCCTCCTCCTCTATCCTGGTTTGGGATAGGCAGTGCTGATGATGAAGTAAAGCACAACTGTAGGCAATAAAAATTGCCTTTATCCCTATTAGTGAAGTTCAGAACAAGACTGCTAAAACCTCATCCGAAAGAGCAAAACGGGGAAAAACACTAATATCTCTCAAACCGTAAGGAATTTGGTGAAACGGAGGTAGCAAACCCCTTTCGGAGGTTTGGTTGGCTCCGTCTCGTCGAGATAGTCGATTTTCACATATAATTCGTCAAATTCTGACTTACGGTTTGAAAGTTATGGCCTATTCTTCGAAGCATGTTTAGTAGCTCGCCTAAAGACTGAAGCTCGCCTGCAAAGAAGTCTGTCTGCAAGGATAGAGCTTGCCTAACAGCATTGAAGCTTTCCTGAATGAGATTCGCTTACACAGCTCGCCTGCACAGCTTCG